CCCCCCGCGCGCATGCGCGGCCCCGCGACCGCGGACACCACTGATGAAGGAATGTACCGAGATGGCTTCCTTAGGGCTAGAGCTAAGGGATAATAACTTGCACTAAATACATTTAAATACTTGATTCCATGAGTCAGTTTATTGTAGTTTTTGATTTCTGTAAAATAAGAGAAACTTTTTGTATTTATTATTGAATAAGTGAATGAAGCTATTTTTAAATAAAAGTTAGAAGAAAGCCAAGCTGCTGCTGTTACCTGCAGAACTAACAAACCCTGTTACTTTGTACAAATGTGTAAATATTTTGAGAAAAAAATACAGTATAAAAATAGTTATTGACCAAATGCTCCCAGGCTCCGCAGCAGCTCGGTGCTTATAAAACGTCATAGGGATGTTACAATATAATTCTGTGTTATTGAATACGCCATTGCAATTATGTAACACACGAAAGTTCACCCTAGTGTTTGGGTTTTTTGGAAACCATGTCTCTTGTACTTGTTTTCTACACCTAACTTCCTACACAACAAAACAAATGCTACGACTACAACTTTTATAGCTGTTTTGGTAATTTAAACTAATTTTTTCATATTATATTGTTGCATCCCTACTTCTTCAGTCAGGTTTTTTTGTGCTTACAATTTGTGATAACTGTGAATAACTGTTCAAACACCCAATGGAGGCTGAGCTTTTTCTTCAGCAGTAGTTTTGACTAGACCACAAAGAATCACGTAAACATACTAGAATCATGTAGCAGGAACTTAACCTAATTCCTTAGCCTTCTATTTAACACAAAAATTTGAAAAATTAAAAAAAAAAAAAAGACAAGAGCGAGAGACGCAATTGTGCTCACAGCTGCAGGACTCCGGCAATAGGGTTTTTCGAAGATGTAATTTTAAAATGTGTTTGTATGAACTGTTTGTTTACATTTCTTTAATAAAAAAAACACTGTTTTGTGTTTGCTTGTAGAAACTTAATCAGCATTTTGAACCAGGTTAGCTTTTTATTTTGTACTTTAAAAATCCTGGTACTGACACTTCACAGGCTAAGTAGGAAATGAAGACTTTCGTGAGCTGTCGGTACAGCCAGTGATGCAGTTCGGAACCTGTAATGTATATGGCATGATGTATTTTTATCTTACAGAATAAATCAATTGTATATATTTTTCTCTTGATAAATAGCTGTATGAAATTTGTTTCTTGGATATTTTTCTTCTCTTGTACAAATTCTGACATCCTACCAGTATTTGTCCTCCCAGGTTTTGTTGTTTCTGTTCTGTATAATAGTATCTAATGTTGGCAAAAATTGAATTTTTTGAAGTATACAGAGTGTTATGGGTTTTGGAATTTGTGGACACAGATTTAGAAGATCACCATTTACAAATAAAATATTTTACATCTATAAACATTGCCTCGTGTCTTGTTAGTCTTGGATTGGACAGACCTTCTGAATGAATTCTACCCTCTTCCCTTGCTCTTTTGAGTAGATTTAGAGGCCTCTCTAGAATTCTCTCCACCTTTGCTTGTGTACCACCACACTTTGCTGGGAAGAGCCACCCCTCATCCTGCAGAGCTGAATTTGTGGCCACGTAAATAGTCACTGATCAAACACAGTTCTCATCACACGCTCCACGCAGATGTCCTGTGCCTCGAGGGCTCGGCCTGCCTGCCACGGACAGGTCACCACAGCGTGTTCTCAACTGTCACGCCTGCAATTTTCATCTAAGTGGACCCCAGGTTCTTGGCAGGAAGGACTGATGGCTCCTGGCGCCTGCTTCCCATCAGCCACACTCCCATGATGGGAATCTTCAGTTCTAGCCCCATTGCTTCCCATCTGCCCAGGGAGCCCACTTGGGCTGGTTGAAAATGTTGCTAGGTGCTAACCTCCTATCCACCCAGCCTGGCCATGTATCTATCGAGCATGCTCAGAACACTTCCGTAGCCTACAGTTGGGCAAAACCCAGTTTATGCCATGTTGAGTATCTCAAGTCATTTACTGGACACACATACAGAAGGGGCTGCGAGTGCTTTTGTTCCACTATCACAGCGGGGAAGGGGAATCATTGAGTCGAGCGGCGCCAGGTGCCTGCTTACTAGATCACATTCTGCAACCAGCGAGCGCTTCCCTCCCCATGGAATTGCCGCCTCTCCCTGCTTTGCTGCATTGACAAGGCCCTCACCCAGGACCCACCCAGGAGGTAAGCACAGGCCCCTGGGCCTTGTTTGCTTGTGGCTTTTTCTGTAGTGTTTCCACACAGGCACTTTTCTGGCTTGATGAGTTTTCCATTTCTAGTTCCTTTTTAAAGGAAATGTTTGTGATATACTTTATGACCATGTGAAGGTGGCACACATTAGCAGAGGTAATGGCTGGCCCCCATATGAAGTGGTTAAAAAAATGGTGTGGGGTGTGGGGGGGTGCAGCATGTACACGGGGGGGGGGCACTCTCTCACCCAAGTTCACGTGTTGTGAGGGAATCCCACCCACCACTGGAAGTGGCTCGGCGTGGTCACAGGGCTGGCCTGAGAAGCCTGCACAGGGCCCGGTCACTCCTCAACCTTGGGGGATCCCTGGGCTTCCTTTCTACAGTTGGGTATCGTGGGGTCTTTAGGCAGACCAACACAGTACCTTACAGCCTTTACATGCGTAAGGGGGCTTGACTACGTGACTTTCCTTCAGCTTTTGCTCACCTTTTCAAACGAGCTTTCAATAGCTCTCCCTGTTGAGTTCTGCTGAAGCCTTTTCTTCTATTTTGCTTGGCAGGAAGAGAGCTGGCTCCATGTTTGTTCCATTTGTGCTGCTCAGTTTCCAACCTGTGACTGGAAACTCCTGAGGACAGTGTTGCATTTGTGAGAAACCTGTCAGCCTTCCACTTTTGCTTTCCCAGATAGTAGGGGCTGCGGCTCTTGCTCTGCACCTTTCTCAGTCGTGAGCTCGCCATTCTTAATCCTGGGTTAGTGATCCGCTCTGTTTTGGCTAGTAGTTCATCTACATTATTGATCTCAACCATTTTCTGTTAATATTTGGTAGGTTTGTGGGGGGGGGGCAGTATTATTGGTACTGAGAATTAAAACTCAGGGCTTCAGTCTTGCTTAGGCAAGCCTTACCTCCACTTCCAGATTGCTGATGGTGAATTGTCTCGTGATTTGTCTGCCTAGCTGCTTCAAACTGCAATCCTCAGAGCTTAGCTTTCTAAGTAGTACTGTGGGCATGAGCCATGGTACCTAGCAAAATGGCCTTTTTTGACCAAGGCAAAATGTGTTCATTTCCAAGTAGCTGGAGGTTTTCTAACTATAGGTGCACATAACCACATTTAGCTTTGTCTTTTGAACCTTTTGCCCAGGCTGGCCTTGGAACCTGGACAATGTCTATCTCCTGGGATTTGGTATAAGCTACTACACAAATGACCTGGTTAACTTATTAGCTGATTTCTGGTATGCCTTGCATGGCTAGAATTTGTGTAGTATGTTGAAATCTTGTCTGTTTTGTTGTTTTTGTCAGTCATGGGGCTTGAACTGTAGGCTTGGGCACTGTCCCTGAGCTCTTCAGTTCAAAGTGCATGCTCCACCACGTGAGCTACAGCACCACTTCCGGTTTTCTGGTGGCTAATTGGACTTTCCTGCCCAGGCTGGTTTTGAACTGTGATCCTCAGATCTCTGCCTCCTGAGTAGGTAGGACTGCAGGTATGAGCCACCGGAACCCAGCTTTGAATCTTGTAACCTGGAATACAGTCTCTCTTGTTAAGTGGCATGTGTGTTCCACTGCTGGGCGGAGAGCTGCATGCTGGTCGAGTTTTAGCAGCACATATATATTTTAGAAGTTCCGTTTTCAGCTATTATGTGCTCTGGATCATTTCCTCTTGATGAATGCTCTTCTGAACACATTACCACATTACTTATTACCAAACATTCTCGGCTGAGACATACTGTCTCATACTCAGGTGTCAGCATGCATGTTTAGGCCTGACTGAAATATCTTCATTTTAACTTCATATTTATAGTGGGCTTCACACTGTATGCTTTTTTTTTTCTGGTGTGGGGTTTGAACTCTGGGTCTGGGTGCTGTCCCTCAGCTCTTCAGCTCAAAGCTAGTACTCCACCACTTGAGCCACAGTGCCATTTCTGGCTTTTTCTGCTTATGTGGTGCTGAGGAATCGAACCCAGTGCCTCATGCATGCAAGGCAAGCAGTCGACCACTGAGCCACCTTCCCAGCCCTGTATGCCTTTTAATTGAACATTTACCTTGGACAGGATTGCTGATAGGGCTGGGTTTAAATCTGCCATATGGCTGCCTTTTAAGTCACATATGTCATGCAGTTTTTCAACTGCTTTGTAGCTGGAGATGAAACTGAGCTGCTGGGTGTGGGGGGGGCACACGTGCGTTCCAGCTTCTTGGGAGGCAGACACGGGAGGGTTACAGTACAAGGCCAGCCTGGGCAAGTGCAATAGCCTCTCTGAAAAACACACTAAAAGCAAGAGGTCTGGTGTGTGGCTTATGCGGTAGCCTGAGTTCCCACAAAAAAAATCAAGAGTCCATTCGGCAGTGGGGGACTGCCCCCTGCCCTGCGCCTTGAGGAAGAATCCATAGGTATTTCGTCACTTCCCATAGCAGTATTCTCTCTCCGCTGCACAGATCGTGGAGCTTTCACGTACGGGCACTGGCCGTTTGTCTTTCAGGGATCCCATCCTCGGCACTGCAGACTGGGCATCTACACCTGTATGGAAAGTTCATAGCTCGCTAGGAAGTGTGGTGCCCTGCGGTGAGGCTCATCTGCTGAACCACTGTGGCTGAGCCTGGGCCACAGCTAGACAAAACAGCAGAACCAAACTGCGAAATAATCCAACAGCCTTTATTTAAATGTAGTACCATAAATCATCAAAATAATTTATAATAGTAACTGCCTCTTAAATATTATGACACCTGGAGTTAAGATGTTCAATTTTTCAAATCACCTATTTAGCACATATTAAACACATGATTGAAGAGAATTACCTTCTACGAAGTCTTCTAAAAAAAATGACAAGCATTTCTGATCAGATAAAACTCATGCCATTGCCAGCGGGGAAAGAGAAGCGTCAATAACTGAATGTTCTGCGGAAGTCTGGCTCTCTAGAGTTCACATCGTTCTCTAGTTCCCCTCTCTAAACAAGAAACTTCTAGCAGCAGCTCAGAAATGGCCTTCATGTCTGTAAAGCCCCTTCCTCCTTTTCAGGGCCCCTCGCCTCGCTCCACCTGGCCGAGGTGTCCGTTCCTCCCAACGCGCACGCGTGTTGCTTCCACGGTGGCCGCGTGGCCCGCTGAGTCACCAGCGCGGCACAACCGCCTCAGCCGTCCAGGTGCCACTGCTGGGCAGCGGAGCCGTCGCAGATCCCCATGGCAACCGCGCCCGGCTGACCCAGCGGCTCCACCGCTCTCAGGCACTGGCCCACGGAAACCTGGTACAGCCGGTTCTTTTTCTGGGAAAAAAAAAAAAGGCAGCAAGAGAAAAGCGCACTTACTGCTTTGAGTGGTTTGGTTTTGGATGCACAGTGGAAGACTATGACGCAGAACGTACAGCCACGAACTCAGAAGAAATCACTACTATGATGGACTGAGATCTCAGCCACCACCGCTGCACACCAGCTCCAGGCAGAGTGTGCTCGGCCTCAGGCCTCGCCCCCAGCCCCGAAACCAGCTCCTCACCCCAAAGGTCCACTGCTGGGAGCCGCCCGAGCCGTGGCACTTCATGAGCCGGGGCGGGTCTGACGAGCGCGTCTCGGACATGTCCAGACAGAGGAGATTGCTTAGAACCAACTCATGGTCTTCATTATAAATCCAGATCTGGAACACAAGAAAGGCTTGACCAACCAAGTTTTGTGTGCAGGACGAAACAACATGCATGCCGTGTGTGTGTGTGTGTGTGTGTGTAAGAAAAAGTGGAATTATTCTGAATCTCGGCGTGAGAGCCGCCACGGAAACGTTTCAATTTAGCAGAATAAAGTCACACTGGAGAAAGGGAGGCGCTGCTCTGCACCCCCACTCCCCACCCCCGAAGCTCTCCATGCAGGTGTTCTAACTGGGCAGCGCCAAGAGGCCGGAGCCGGGGTGGTCTCAGGGTGTCTGGGACTCCAAGTCGGTGGTGCACGGCCCCGTCCACTCCCCACACGGGAGGCCGCCCAGAGCCCGCTGCCTCAGATAGGGGCCGAGCTTTGGGGTTTCAGAGTATACACTGCACACCACAAAGCCGTGTGCACATGACACCAACACCCCAGCTGCTTCGGCCAACGTGAAAATGCATCTCCGCACAGTGACTGAGACGAGACAGACACTGCAGGCCGCCCCTCGGCACCTGTGAAGCGGTGTGGATTAAACGTCACGGTGAAGCAGGCGACTCCTGCCTTTTTTTTTTTTGGTCAGTCATGGGGCTTG